AATTAGTCGGGCATGGTAGCACGCGCCTGTAGTTCCAGCTACTTGGAAGGCTGAGGCGGAAGGATCGCCAGAGCCCAGTAGGTCGAGGCTGTGGTGGCCGAGAGTGGCCACTGCACTCCAGTCGGGGCAACAGAGTGAGACTCCAACTCAAAAAAAAAAAAAATGAGCCAGGCATGGTGGCACATGCCTATGGTTCCAGCTACTTGGAAGGCTGAGACAGAGGGATCACCTGAGCCCAGCAGTTCGAGGCTATGGTGGCTGTGAGCATGCCACTGCACTCCAGCTTGGGTGACAGAGTACGATTCTGACTAAAAAAAAAATAGAGAATAAAATAAAATGGGGGTAATACTATTCACCTGGAAGGTTTGCTATGCAGCTTCTAAGTAGTTCAGTTTATAAAAACACTGGAACCCTGCAGGTGTTAGTTTTGGTGAGTTTTTCTTCCTTCCTATTATTAGAAACTCACTAGGTAGCCCAAACCATTACACACTTTCCACTCTCAGAATGTTTATGTCTGTGAAAACATACCAAGATAAATGACCATATATTTATTTTTTTCCAGGTGTCCATATTTCTAAAGGACAAAGTTCAGAATTCTAATGGTCGCTTTGTGTTGCCAGTTTGCGGGCCTGTCCCCTGGGGAACTGAAGTTCCCGGACTCATCAGGTGAATTCTCAACAGTAATTACCAAGGCTGCATTTGGGGTGCTGGGAGACCAGTACGTAGGCCACCATAAAGGATGCAGCACTGCTGAGCCCCCAGGCTCTCTTGACAACCCCTCTGCAGTAAAGCACAGCTATTAAAGAGGACAGGTTCTAACCCAGCTTTGCCACTTAGCAGAGGGACTTGAGGCAAGTCACCCAGTTCTCCAGGACTCATTTCCTCTTCTGCTAAATGGTTCCTGCAAAGATGAATAAGATAATGGTGCTCCAAAGTGCTCACACTGCACTGGGCGCATAACATTGCTCAATAAATACTAGTAGTAGTAGTATTATATTATTATTATTATTATTATCACAACCAACATCTTTATCTTGAAGGAGTGCATGAATTCCTTTTTGTTCCATAGTACAAAGAATAACGAAGTCTCCAGGACTACCTAAGCTTGGAGAACATTCCATCATGTTATACTTTGTATTATAGAATGTTCAACAACAAAGGTGAAGAAGTGAAGAAGATAGAATTCAAGCATGGTGGACACTATGTCACTGCACCCAAAGAAGGTTCTTTTGAGCTTTATGGAGACCGAGTCCTGAAACTGGGAACTAACATGTAAGCAAATTTTCCTTCTCTAAATTAATTCAAGTCCAAGGGAGGCCACTTCATTTTAACAACACAACCTGACTTCTCCTGTGGAAATCCCTCTGATGACTGTACTTATTACCCCTCGCATGCCTTGCATACAGCACCGTGACATTTTCCAAGGGCTCCCAAGAACTCCAGACATAAGGTGACTCCATGGATTGAAAACATACATAATTTTAAATATTTATGGAAGAGGACTAGCCAAAACCTCTGTTGCACTGGAAATCCAGAAGGACATAGCCTTCATGTAATGCTACCATCTTTTCAGGGATAATGTTACTCTTTACAGGAGAAGGCATTTCCACAGCTTCTCTAGACAGTTTTCTTTGGGAGGATATGACATTTGAGTGGTTAACACCCACTTATTTGGTGCTCACAGTATCTTTCTGGGTGCTATTGAATGTCTCAAAATGAAAGCCAAGAATGGTATTGATGAGTTAGAAGAAAGTCAGTGGGCCAGGCATGGTGGCTTGAACCTGTAATCCCAGCACTTTGGGAGGCCGAGTTGAGGGGACTGCCTGAGCCCATGGGTTCAAGAACAGCCTGGCAACTTGGTGAGACCTCATCTTTACAATAAATCAAAAAAATTATCCAGGTGTGGTAGCATGCACTTGTAGTACCGGCTACTTGGAAGGCTGTGGTGGAAGGATCACCTGAGCCCAACAGGTCAACACTGGAGTGGCCATGAGTGTGCCACTGTACTCCAGCCTGGGCAATGGAATGAGACTCCAACTCAATAAAAAAAAGAAGGAAGTCAGTGAAAAGGAGCTGGGTAATTTGCCATTTTGTGTTGACAACAGGTACAGCGTGAATCGGCCTGTGGAAACTCATATGTCTGGAACATCAAAGAACTTAGCCTCACAGATACAGGTGAGCTTCTTTCTTCCCACCTCCTTACAGCTTTTTCTGGATACAGAAATCTACATGGAGAAGGAAAGGAACTCTTTAGAGTTCAGCTAGCCAACATTTTCCTCATTGTTTGCAATCTTTTTCTTTGGGCCTTAATAGTACACAGGTTTTTAGTTGTAGCTTTTCATGGAGACTTCCAGTGATCTCACTAATTAGGTAATTTTAGGCTTTGCTCAGCCATCATAATTAAGCAGGAACCACACAACAGGACATGTGAAATAGCATTGTACCAGTGCCATTAGGTCCATGGTTGCTGACTTCAGCATCTGTGCGTATTCTGATCATTAAAATATGTCTTTTTCATGCTTTCCTTTATAGTGCTGTGGTAGCTAAGTCCAAAGTGTGGTTTTAGTTTCTCTGAATTCCATCTTTACAAATTTTCACTGAACTAGCTCCCAGCTTGCTATAGGACAAATAATGGAATATTAAAGTATTCAGCAAATATTTATTAAACTGCTTCTATGGACCAGGTACCTGGGGACACAAAGCTGACATAGGTGTGGTCCCATCCTGAAGGGGCTGATAGTACCCTGGGAAAGATGGAAGGAGCTGTGACAGGTGGGAGAAGGGCTGTGCCAGAAGAACACATGTTCTGTCCGGTGGGGTGGGGGTAGGGAGGGGAGTCAAGAAGGCTTTTCAGAGGAGGTGATAGTGAAGTGGGGCTTGAGAGCATATAAAACCCTCAGTAGCAGAGAAGGAGAGATAGGCACGTGACCAAGGTGGCAGGCTGAGCAAAGACATGGGGGCAGAAGAACATGGTGTTTGGAGAAGCAGGAGACAGCTCGTCTCCCATGAGCCTACAGCAGTGTAATTCAGGCCGCTGGCAGAGACTGACTGGACAGGGACAGTGGGGCTTATTAGAAAGAGCCCTAAACAGTTTGGACTTTGTTCTTTAAACAGGAGGTGGAGGGGTTCATTTCAACCCAAGGAGAAATGAGATGAGAACTGTCTGTTGGATAATTGGCGGCAGAGTGCTGGGAGAAGCAGAGCAGGGGCAAAGGTGGGCATGGGGTGAAGACAATGAGAGGAGGGAGTGACTCGAGGGGTGTGTTCCTGACCATCGCCACCTGAGGGCAGTGTGGCAGCTCCTCTGGAATGAACACCCTTCCACTGGTGACTTTACTGAGGCTTCTTGCAAATGCTGAGAGAACTGGAATCATTGAAGAGGAAGCAGTGTTCTTCTCCTTCAAGGTGGAAGGTAGTTTGAGGAGAAATGTGCTTCTCTGGGAACTTGCATTCATCTTGAAAGTATGAAATTCTCTGGATTGCTGTATTGCTAGTTTCCCTCTGCTTCTGGTTTGGTGTTTTTGTTGTTGTTGCTAAGCCTGCTTTCTACGCTTTATTTGGACTCAGAAATAATTTTAACAGTTATTGTTTTGCCTTATTTTGTAATACCTCCCTGTGTCTCTGAGGTCTTATCAGGAAATGTGATCACCTTCGTGTGGCTAACAATCATGCAACTGTTTCTGCAGGAAAGCATTGCTCCAAACCCTCTTGCTAAAGAAGAGCTGAACTTCTTGGCTAGGCTGATGGGAGGAATGGAGATTAAGAAACCCAGCGGCCCCGAGCCAGGATTCTGGTTGAATCTCTTTACCACTGATGAAGAAGAGGAGTATGTTTTAAACTTGCTTATTTATTTATTTATTTATTTATTTATTTACTTATTTACTTATTTATTTTGAGTTGGAGCCTCACTCTCGCCCAGACTGGAGTGCAGTGGCATGCTCCCAGCCACTGCAGCCTCGACCTGCTGGGCTCTGGCGATCCTTCCACCTCAGCCTTCCAAGTAGCTGGAACTACAGGCGCATGCTACCATGCCCAGCTAATTTTTTTATTTATTGTAGAGATGAGGTCTCGCCAAGTTGCCCAGGCAGGACTTGAACCTGTGGACTCAGGCAATCCACTCACCTCAGTCTCCCAAATCATGGGATTACAGGCTGAGCCACCGAGCCGGGCTGTAAACTTGCTTCTTTAAAGACATATAGAAATCCCAATTGTGATAAGAACCCAAAACTGACCATTACAACCAGTGACATTTATAAATACAGATGCAAAGATCACAAATGAAATGCCAACAAATTCAATAACCTAGTTAAAGAAGCCACCAGGAGTCAGTGGCCTGGACCTTCTGGAGTCATTCAAAAAGAGAGTTCTAATATTTTACTTAGCAGAGCACAGCTAAAAAAGCAACATTAGAAGCAAAGTTGACCATATTAAGAAAGATATGTTAAGAAACCAGAGGGAGGTTGGAGCTTGATTTCTTTGGGATTTGATAGTCTCACCCAAAACCAATAACAATAGTAATTCACCAACATGTAAACAGTACTTTACAGTTTACAGAGCACTTTCACATGCATTCTCTCATGTGACCCTCCTCACAATCAAGTATTTAGGGTGAGCGTTGCCTTCTATTTTCCCATTGCACTGACTTCTTTTGTTTACTTCCTTGTGACAGGTACTGTGTTAAGTCCTGGGGACACAAAGATGTAGTAAGACCTAGAGCCTATCCCCAGGAAGCTCCCAACTTAGTGGGAGAATGAACATGTACATGAGTTATTTTAGTGCCGTGTCATGAATGCTCTGATTGAGGACACAGTGACTAACTTTGCACTGGCAAATTGAAGGAGTTGGCATGTGATCTGAGTCTTGGAGTCTGTCAAGCAGAGGAAGGGGAGAAACAATCTTGGCAGAGTTTAGTGTGTGCAAAGGCACAGAGACATAAAAGAATGTGACTTTCTAAAGTGTGGTATGCGTTGGTTGGAGATGGGGTAGAAAGTTGAAAAGGGCAGAAGATGAGGCAGGAAAAAATAGGTTGTCAAGTTATCAAAAGTCAGTTTGTCATGCCAGCAGGGAGAGAATCTAACCTTGACATGTTTCTTTATCATCTTATCCAGACAAGCAGCACTAACCAGGCCAGAAGAGTTGTCCTGTGAAGTTATCAACATACAGGCTATCCAGGCACGTACCAGGGATTGCATGGGGTCAAAACTTATTCCCTTCCTCATCTTATACTAACCTTGAACTTCAGATACTTCCCTTTTTTATGCTCTAATCAGCCTGTCACTAGTGTCCCTTTTCTGACAAATAGGTGGGCAACTGAAATGCATCCCAGGGGTAGGACGAAAAAGTAAATGCCTACTGCACCAAGAGGCAGCCTGCCAACACTTCCTCTCATCCCTTCCGTCTCTCATTTCTCTAACAGGACCAGCAACGGAATGAAGAGCTGGCTCGGATCATGGGGGAGTTTGAGATCACAGAACAGCCAAGGCTGAGCTCCAGCAAGGGAGATGATTTACTCGCCATGATGGATGAGTTGTAGCCGTGCTGACCGGCATCCCCTCCCCACAAAGGGAGAGGCTACTGGATGACAAGCCCTGGGGAATGCCCCGGTGCCCAGAATGATGCTGCTAGTTCTCTACCCAGTGAAGCCGTTACCTCTGGTTCTTGTTTATATTGTAAAGGACTGTGCCAGACTCCCTCAGGAAGCGCCCTCTTTTGATGTCACACACAGACACACATTCTCAGTGAAATATATTCTGGCCTTTAAACTGGACCTTTCCCATTTTATTCCTAATTCTATGGCAACCATCCACATCATCCTGGGCCATAGGTTTGAACCCCAGAGTCAGTAGAGGGTCACTCCTGCTGTCATATTCAAATTTACTATTTCAGTTTTTCTATGGGGATCTACCTCTCACAGATGCCTGAAATCATAACAAAATCTTCATAGTTTCCTGGGATATATTCTGCCTTGTAGGTTATTTGAAATCAATCATTGTTTAAGGCAGTTGCCTCAGTTGGGAGCCCATTGAGACAGCCTCCTCTCCCTTGCATACTAGGTATTATGACCTTAAAGGCAGAATAAGGAAGGCCACAATAGGAAACACTCAGCTGGGCCCAGCAGAGTATGTAGACATCTGTACCTCTCTGCACATCAGTCTGTCCACATGTGGTTGTGGGTTTATCCCATATGGAGATGTGTACCAACAGGATAATTTGCTTTTCAGCATGATGTGTACCGCTTACCCCCAGGATCGTCCTCTGCCATTTAGTGTGCTTGCCAGCTAAGACACCCAGTATCATGTGCTATGATGTCTGTCCCCCGCCTTACCATCAGTCATAGCACATGATACCAAGCAGGGCCTCAGGTTGGATGCACGGGAGGCACATGTGGTGTGCCCCTTTCCCTTCCATGTACCAGCCAAGCCACTTCCCCTGGCAAGATGTGGCAGGATGCCAAGTTTAATTGGGATCCATGTAAAATGTCTCTGGCCAGGGCTGCCTTCCTGTTGATTCAGGAAGGAGCAGCAGCCGTCTACCACATGTGCCCTCCTGGGACTGAGTAGCCAGCGGGTTCGGGGCCAGCTAACATCCAGAGGTCCAGGTCCATTCAGTCCTATGGAAGGAACAGCCAGAACAGGAGAAGTGGGAGAGAAACTTAGCTGAGCTGGTCACAGCCTGAGATGGGGCCGACTGCAAGAACTCCTGTGGCGCCCTGGGGAGGCTCAAGGCAAATACCGTTCTGGAATGGGAGGGCCAGCCTATGGGCACAGGGTTTGGAGACAGAATGATAAATCACCAAATAGGTTTAAGTTGCCTCCTACCCAGTAAAGTTACACTTCCTTACTTATAAAGACAACCCCCCCCCAGCCCTCACAAAAAGTCTGACAAGGAGAAGAGGCATATTGTGCTGCTAAATGCTTATTGCAGCAGATGTACAAAGAGCCTTTAGTCTTAGCCTCTTTTAAGCAATTTGGCCACCATTCTGGGGTGCCTGACTGGGTAACAGGTGAATGGGAAGGTCTGTCACAAATCTGAACTTCACTGTCTGCTCTGAGCACGTCCTGGGCCTTGGAGGTGGGCCACGAGCTCCCGGGAAGCAGCAGCAGCCTCGTCCCTCCACCTACCCCAGATCATCTGTCCTATCATAAATAAACGAGATACTGATCTCTATAAGGCAGCTCTGTGATGAGGCAACCTGTGAGTTTCATGTCTCTAGACTTGTACAAATATTGAGAAAAATAAGTTTATTTGCATGATGGTTTAGGGCATCCAGAGAAAGCATGGGAGCCAGGAAGAGGCAAAGAAAAAGGGAGGTAAGAATTACTCTGCCCAAATTGTGGACTGAGTACTAGAAATGTATCAGTGTTCTTTAAAACCATGGCAAAGGGTGCAAGGGTGTCATACAACAGTGCCCAGTGCACTTCAAGGGGAAGCACCCTGGTCAGAAACGGGACACTGCACTCTGGTCGCATGCCTGCCCTAAATTCACCATGTCATCCTGGACTGGTTATCCTCACCAAGCCTCAGGTCCCTCAAGAAGAAAGAAAAAGAGCTCAAATCCAGAGTGCCCAGATAAGTTACTGAGTTGACAGATTCCAAGACCCTCCCCCAGGTGGGACCTGAGAATTGGAGTTGCACCCCGGCTGCCCCCACCCTGTGCTTTGGGGTAAATCTGCTCTCTTTCAGCTCTTCTGTGACTGTAACCTCTTAGAGTGTTAGAATACCCTATAGATTCTGTAAGGCAAAGCTGTAGGAGAGCCAGAAACCAAAGGACTTTAATGGCTCCCAGAAGAAAGAGCTAACCAGAATCAAGAGTGAGGGAGGAAGAAAAAAGGGGGGAATGTATCCCTCAGTTCTAAGAAGAAAGTCATCCCGTATAGTCCACATAAGTATCTAACAATTTTTAAAGGTAAAACTCACTTTTTTCCTTGGATCTAAATCTCAGTAGGTGAGAAACTAACTTCAGCATGATACCCAGGTCCTGGAGATGCCTGGATCTAAACCAGATCAGCTTCCCTCTGGTCTGTAACCATCTGGTTTGTCATGCTTGTCTACATCCAGTATAGAGCCACACTGTCTCTTTTGCACCAACTCAAGCCACAAGAAACCATAGAAAGAGAAATGCAGATTTTAGAAAATTTAGCATAATATCTAATCTTCAAGGCCCAAATTAAAATCTGAAAACTAATACAACCTTTACCTATCTCTTGCTTTCTTTAAATTAAGCCCTGGATAACTCCTTTTCAGTAGTTGAATCCTGGACATCTGACAGTAGAGGGAGTTCCAGAAGGGAGTGGGTAAGGAAACCCCTCCAGAGTTGAATCTTTCCTGCATAGCTTCCTGATTTGGTATGAAGTAAATTCTTAGTTCATACTCACCCCTGTTCAAGTGAGGATGTCAAGATGCATTCCAGGGGACAATGGAAATTATTTTGGATCCTTTGATAACCTTGACACTCCTTACCGCCACCACCACCACACACATGTACGTTCAAGATACTTTTTGTTTCTGATCTGTGTTGCCTCTGTTGACAAAAATAACATTACCTGGCCAGGTGCAGTGGCTTATACCTATAATCCAAGCACTTTGGGAGGTCAACATGAAAGGATTGCCTGAGCCCATGGGTTTGAGACCAGCCTGGACAACATGGCGAGCCCTTATCTCTACAATAAATCAAGAGAGATTAGCCGGGCATGGTGGCATGTGCCTGTGGTTCCAGTTACTTGGAAGGCTGAGGCAGAACTGCCTGAGCCCAGCAGGTCAAGACTGCAGTGGCCATGAGCGACAGAAGGAGACTCCAACTCAAAAATAAATAACATTACCTTCCCTGTTTGTTCCTCAAAAGTCACAAAGCCCTAATCACCTTAGATCTGGTGAAGCCACACCACAAGCACAGTCCCAACACAATCCTAGATATGCACAATGGCCTCAGATTGTATTATTCTGTCCTTCATTCTCTTCACAAAGCTCCTTCATGTCTGTGTGTGTGTGTGTGTGTGTGTGTGTGTGTGTGTGTGTGTGTGTATGTTTTGTTTGTGTTTTGTTTGTGTTTTTGTTTTGTTTTTTTAGTCAGAGTCTCACTCTGTCTCCCAGGCTGGAATGCAGTGGCACCAGCACGGCTCACTGCAGCCTTCAACTCCTGGACTCAGGAGATCCTTCTGCCTCAGCCCTCCCAGTAGCTGGGACTACAAATGCACACCACCTTGCCTGGCTAATTTTTTATTTTTTGTAGAGGCAAGGTCTCACTATGTTGAAAAGGCTGGGCTTAAGCAATCCTCCTGTCTTGGCCTCTCAAAGTGCTGGGACTACAGACGTGAGCCACCATGCCTGGTGCTGGAACTACAGGCACACACCACCTTGCCTGGCTAATTTTTTATTTTTTGTAGAGGCAAGGTCTCACTATGTTGAAAAGGCTGGGCTTAAGCAATCCTCCTGTCTTGGCCTCTCAAAGTGCTGGGACTACAGACGTGAGCCACCATGCCTGGTGCTGGAACTACAGGCACACACCACCTTGCCTGGCTAATTTTTTATTTTTTGTAGAGGCAAGGTCTCACTATGTTGAAAAGGCTGGGCTTAAGCAATCCTCCTGTCTTGGCCTCTCAAAGTGCTGGGACTACAGACGTGAGCCACCATGCCTGGTGCTGGAACTACAGGCACACACCACCTTGCCTGGCTAATTTTTTATTTTTTGTAGAGGCAAGGTCTCACTATGTTGAAAAGGCTGGGCTTAAGCAATCCTCCTGTCTTGGCCTCTCAAAGTGCTGGGACTACAGACGTGAGCCACCATGCCTGGTGCTGGAACTACAGGCACACACCACCTTGCCTGGCTAATTTTTTATTTTTTGTAGAGGCAAGGTCTCACTATGTTGAAAAGGCTGGGCTTAAGCAATCCTCCTGTCTTGGCCTCTCAAAGTGCTGGGACTACAGACGTGAGCCACCATGCCTGGTGCTGGAACTACAGGCACACACCACCTTGCCTGGCTAATTTTTTATTTTTTGTAGAGGCAAGGTCTCACTATGTTGAAAAGGCTGGGCTTAAGCAATCCTCCTGTCTTGGCCTCTCAAAGTGCTGGGACTACAGACGTGAGCCACCATGCCTGGTGCTGGAACTACAGGCACACACCACCTTGCCTGGCTAATTTTTTATTTTTTGTAGAGGCAAGGTCTCACTATGTTGAAAAGGCTGGGCTTAAGCAATCCTCCTGTCTTGGCCTCTCAAAGTGCTGGGACTACAGACGTGAGCCACCATGCCTGGTGCTGGAACTACAGGCACACACCACCTTGCCTGGCTAATTTTTTATTTTTTGTAGAGGCAAGGTCTCACTATGTTGAAAAGGCTGGGCTTAAGCAATCCTCCTGTCTTGGCCTCTCAAAGTGCTGGGACTACAGACGTGAGCCACCATGCCTGGTCCCTCATATCCTTTCAAAATGTTGAGGCCAAGCCAGGCATGGTGGCTCACACCTGTAATTCCAACACTTTGGGAGGCGGAGGTGAGAGGTTTGCCTGAGCCCAGGGGTTCGAGACCTGCCTGGGCAACTTGGTGAGACCTTGTCTCTATAATAACTTTTTTTAAAAAATTAGCCAGGCATGGTGGCATACATTTGGGGTTCCAGCTACTTGGAAGGCTGAGGCAGAAGAATCGCCTGAGCCCAGCAAGTCGAGGCTGCAGTGGTTATGAGCATGCCACTGCACCCCAGGCTAGGCAACAGAGTGAAACTTTGACTCCAAAAAAAAAAAAAATGAAAGAAAGAAAGAAATGTTGAGGCTGGCAGGTTTTCCAGGGAAGCTCTGGTGTCAGCTAAGGACATGTGACTCAGGTTTTCTGGATAGCCTCAAGACCTCTCAGCTTAGGTTACAACTGCCTAGAAGCCAGTACTTGGTTTGTGTTGTCCTTGCATTTGTCCCTCATCCTCCTGTCTATACCCGCCCCCATTGGTGGCACCCAGTCCTCTTCCTGCTTCAGATTTAGCAAGTGGCTGTTCCTTCCCCTGTGCAAACACCCCCAGTCATGCCTTTGGCCGCCGCTTCTCCATCTTAACTGGCTTCTCGGCCATGAGACCAGCCCACCACACTTGCCTGCTGCCTCATTTTCCTTCCCTCCTAAACCCTGCAGCTTCTATCACTCCACAGACTCCGACTCTCCAGGCCGCAGCATTGCCAAATCCAGCAGCCGTTTGTCATCCCCATTCTCCTTGACTTTCGGAAAGCTCTTAGCTCTCTCTACAAACACCCTTTTCTTCCTAAAACTTTCTCAACTTTGGCTTTCGTGGTTTTGATCACTTTCTGGCCATACCCCCTCTCTTTCCCTCTGTGCCTTCTGATTCGGGGTTGCCCTGTGTGATACAGAGTTGGATGCATTTTATTAAGTCTGTCAAAATGGCCAGGTCAATTGCCAGATACTCCTCATTCCACCCTTGCCTTTTTTCCCATTGCTTATCCTTATCTCCCACTCCCACTCCATTTCTCACCTTCAGCCTGTTCCTTACTCTCATCCCACTGCTGGCCCCCAAGTTTGACAGGTCTTGCATTCTTCTGCAAATTGTTTTACATCACTTTCTTTCAGAGACACCACTACCTGCAGCCATCACCTCTGTGCTGTGATCCCCACCCTCACCTGTGCTTCAGGCTCCCTTTCCCTGGGATAGTCCACAGCACCTCACACTTCAATGTCTAAAACCATAGTCATTTCATTTATTTAGTACATTTATTTCACTCTCAAAAGACATGAAGAAACTTTTTTAATTAAATACAATTCAAAATAGGGCAGTTTTCCATAGAAAAGAACTGGAAACAATGGGCAGAAGTTACTAAAACTTCCTAATCTTGGAGTAGATTAGCAAAAAAATGAGAAGGCTGGGTGCAGTGGCTCATGCCTGTAATTCCTGTACTTTGGGAGACCAAAGCAGGAAGACTGCTTGCAGGAGTTCAAGGCCAGCCTAAGCAACATAGTGAGATCTCGTCTTTACAAAAAATAAAAATATTAGCTGAGCATGGTGGCATGCTACTCAGGAGGCTGAGGCAGAAGGACGGCCTGAGCCCAAGAGGTCGAGGCTGCAGTGAGCTGTGATTGTGCTGTCACACTCCAGCCTGGTGACAAATTGAGACCCTGACTCAAAAAAAAAAATAGTGAGTTACTGGTCACTGGGGTGGTTTGAGCAGAGGTTAGGGG